GTGTGTGTGTGTGTGTGTGTGTGTGTGTGTGTGTGTGTGTGTGACCATACACGACCCATACTAATCAGGTCTCAGAGTAAATAGCAGCGCAGGGCGATCTCAATGTAAATTGCGCTTGTCAGAACCCCCCCCCCCCCTCACTTTCTCTCCTCCTCCCCTCGACATCCCAGACTGTAGGTAGCTAAGCGGGGGAGGGGAAAGGCCTTTCCAACCAATGGCGTGCAGGAGGCTTGGCTAACCTTAGCCTCCCATTTTCTCTCCCCCCCATTCAGGGCTCTGACCAGTCAGTCGCCTTTGATTATCAGTTGCCAGCAGCCCTTCTCTTGGCTCCTTGACACGAGCTCCATATAAGGCAGCGATCTCCATAGAAACGTGTCAGTTTCAATAGTAGTGTCAAAGTTCACTATATACAGACATTCGCGCAGATCCCCCTTTCGGAAACATTGCTCTGAGTGTCCTCCCGTTTAAACGCATTCAATTTTTTGGTTCCTCTTCTCTCTTCTCCTCTCCTCTCCTCTCCTCTCCTCTCCTCTCCTCTCTCCTCTCCTCTCTCCTCTTTCTCCGTCTCCCTCCTCTCTCTCACCCACTCTCCTCTTGCCCTATCTCCCCCCTTTCTTTTTCTTACATAGTCTACTAGTTCTCCCCCTTTCTCTTTCTCTCCCTCCTCCTTTTCTCTTTCACTCCTTGCCTGCAGAAGAGAGACTAAACTTGAAAAAAAGGGAGGAGGAGGCACCCCCTGCGTATTCTTCTTATCGTTATTTTATACATATATGATTTTTTTGGAGGGAGGGTGTTGGTTCCCGGCTGAAGAGCACTTATTTAAAATACTAAAAAAAGAACATTTTTGGGCGATCTCCAGGGTTTTTTTAACTAGCTCTGTGTGTTATAGCAGAAGAAGCAGAAGAAGCAAGAAAGAGGAAAAGAAGAGGCTTATTTATTCGACCTACTTTGGATGTCTCTCCCGCTTTCTCTTTTTCCTTTTTTTTTCCTCAAGTATTTTCTTCTGATTTTTATTTTTTTTTCTATTTCGCTGTGAATTCGTCGCTGGCGTGAATTATCTCGTATTTTCCTCCCCCTTCCGTCACCTCCCGAAAGAAGAAGGCAGAGAGAACCCGGCGCCACCCGCACAACAAAAAGAGCAAAGTGTGTGATCTTCCTTGCCGGCTGCCTCCCGCTCTCCAGCGCTGCCTTCCTGAATGGCTGGCTGCGTCCGGCCCTGGACCTGGCCCCCCGACACCCGAGCG